CATAATATTGGATGACTTCCCGTCATCATCAACATTCAAAGATTTGGATTGCTTGATTTACATTTAGACGGGGATTGAGGACACCCTCATTTTAAATTTTCAAAAACATTGTGTCCAGATATACAACATATTGAGAGCTGACACTTGTGTGACCATTCAGTATTTAGTTTGAACCCTTGACACCATGTATGAATAAGTGAAAACTTTAGGATGAGCTATATCCTTTATGATGACGCCAACTGAAAGGGGTTGGGTAGTCTCCAAAACAAGCCCTTTCAGTAAAAATGAAGGGGTCACTTGAACAAGCGATTATAGTTTAAAATTGCTTTTTTTGTGCAGTTTAATATCTAAGTTTGACTTTACCAACATAACATGTTTTTGCATATTTTGTTTCAATTGGTGTAGGGGATTCCCGCCAATACACACCTTGATATAAAATTGGATCAAAATCTATTAATTCTTTTCCTGAGTTCGCGGCTGCCAAGCTTGGCATGTGAAAAAAGTTGTTACATCTTCGCTGTGACTCTTTAAAATGACCTCAAGGTCACAAAATTCAAGTGGTGTCGGTAAATCTCGTCAATAAACCTTGGTACCAAATTTGAACAAAATCCATCATTTCTTTTCTCGAGTTGTTTCCAGTAAAACTGAAGGGGGAGTAATTTTGAAAAGCCGATTGTAGTTTCAAATTGCCTTTTTTGTGCAGTTTAAGATCTAAGTTTGATTCTAGCCGACCTCTACCGATCTCAAACATACCAAAATGTTTCTTGCATATTTTGTTTCCTGAAGTTTAATTTGTGATGCATTTCATTGCTAGTCAGCTAGGCTGTTCCATTTGTCCGAACCACAACATACGGAGACAGATCATTTAGCAGACCGGGTGCTGTACTCTGGAATTGATTATCTGAAAATGTCAGAAAATCGGAAAATATCAACAGTTTCCGATCGTGTCTAAAACCATCCTCTTCAAACGAGCATTCGACTAAGCGCACATGAGCAGGACTCTGGATATGTAGCGCTATACAAATATTTGATCTAATTTAATTTGATTTGATTTGATTTGATATTACGTTAGAAACCCATCCCCACCCCACCCTACTTTATATTTATACATATCAAAACCTCAAAAGATATTTGCGAAAAGACATGATACAGAGGACAGTTTATATCGATTATATATCAGGACGAATATTATATTCGTCATTTGGTTAAGATTTGTCTATTCTTTCTAGGGTTATCGCGCTCACAATCTTTATATTGGCAAAACCCTAAGATTTTTGCTGTGACCTTGAAAATTATCTCAAGGTTATTCCATTTCACTTGTGTTGGTGAATCTCGCCAATATACCTTGGTACCAAATTTGAACGAAATCCATCATTTCTTTCTTGAGTTATCGCCCTAACAAGCTTATTTGATGTATGAAATGCAACGAAAAACAAACACCCGCGCATTTACGAGTGATTAAAACTGTTATTACAATTTACGTAAATATTTATTACATTTTACCGCAACGAAAAGTATTACAATTTACGTCAATTTTTATTACAATTTGCGTATTACAATTTACGTCAAGTTTATTACAATTTGCTGCAAGTATTACAATTTGCGTTTTTATTACAATTTACATCGTAACATGCTGACTTGTTTGGGTATTCAATTTGATCTTTTAAATATAGTGAAAAGTATACTTCAAAATGTTGGGTTATCTTATATATGGCAGTCCCAACGTTTTCCTCCCGCATCCTGGCTGAAAAACTGTTAAATACACACTTATAGCTCATTTAAGCAATCATGGAATGCTGCCCTTCAAAATTCATGAAAAGGTAAATTTTACTCCTTATATAAGTATACTCCCAACTTAGAACCTTATTTAATTCGCCTCCCATTGAAACAACGTGTCTGGTTGACAAAACTGCGAGCATGCAATCACAGATTTCCGATTGAAACCGGCAGATGGTATAATGTAGACATAGAAAATAGAGTATGTATAAGTTGTAACCACCATGTTATATGTGACGAAGTTCATGTTATCTTATCATGCACAGCTCTAGATGATATAAGAAACAGTATACTCCCTTATTATTTTTGTAATAACCACCATATTGATAAATCTATTTCCCTTATGAAGGAATTCCCATGTAGCTCTGGCAGTATGGACCCGGGCGTTATAATGCTGGAGAATGTTGTTCCGAAATGTGGTATGACGTGGGTTCTGAGGGCTTGGTCGATGTGGCGCACCGCTGTGATGCCGCCTCCTTTCCCTGGACCAAGGCTTTAGAACACCACAGGACCCACTCTCTGGTTCAGGCCTATTCTACCCCACGCTATGATGCTCTGTTCCGGAAGCCAGTGTATTAACAATCTAGACTCATTCCTTTTTGAATTCATTAATAGGGCACAGAATATGTATGTACAGGGTTGGCATGAATCATTAACATCTAGTTCGAAAACTTATTTCTACTCACTGTATAAACATGTTTTTGGTCCTGAGACATATTTAAATTCTATAATTGTGGAAAAATTCCGCATTGCTCTTGTACGGTTTCGTTGCAGCTCTCATCAATCAAACATTGAGACGGTTAGATATATCTTAATAATCCAAGGAATCTCAGATTAGGTCATATGTGTTCGGGTGCTTAGAGTGAAAATGAATATCATTTCCTCCTAATATGTTTTGCCTATGATCATCTACGTACATCTTATATTCCTGTGAAGAATTATACATATCCATCATAATGCAAATTTAATACTTTGATGTCTGTAGACAAGTCCACTGTGCTAAGAAATCTAGCTATGTATCTATTCTATACGAATGAGCTGCGTACAAGCAGTTTGTTGGCTGTATGAAGTAATATTGTAATACGGACCGATGGCCTACACACACCAGAATAAAGATATTGATTGGATGCCTGCATGAAAGGATCCTGTACATGCTGTCGTACAACATGGCGGTCTTGTGATCTGCCAGTACGGGGCGATCATTTGTGGTGTTGGTGATCCGGAAACGTTGCTTCAGCCTGTAGATGGTCCGAACGTTGACCTGGAAGTGATTGGCAACGGCTTGTGCAGTGTGGCTAGCTTCAAGTCTTCCAAGCGCCTGGTTCCTCTGAGTTGTCGTGAGTTGTAATGTTGTAATGTGAATGTTTCAACCAGGTTTGGGGGTGCATTTTATAGGGCTGGTCCTTGCGAACAGCAAGTGCAGCATGAGTTGCATGAAAAACACGGAGAACACCGTACCATCCCCGAGATCAGGTTGACTTTTTGAGACCATTTCGTGGTTTCAATTGTGAGTTTGGGAAGGAATGTCTTTGCTCAGGTAAAGTTGGAAATGTTGTCAAAAATATACAATCAAAACATTAAATGAGTTTACAGTTATCCGTTTCTGAGAAGGAAAATTCCAAATAGTATATAAAATATAGTATATATGTATAGTCTCTTTATCATTTTGTATGATTTATGAGAATAAAAAATCCTGATTCCTGATTCCTGGTACAGGAGACAAGATTGGGATGGTGTTTTGATCACTGACGAGTCGATATTTTATCTGGGCAGCTCAGATGGCAGAGGTTTACAGACGCCGGGGTGATCGGTATACCGCCACGTGCATTGTTCAGCGTCGACAGTTTGGTATACATCGCACTGTTAATGGTATGGAGAAGCATCACATCTCATGGTGGGACACAATTTGTCATTGTCAATGGCAATCTGATAGGTTTGCAATACAGGGATGAGGTCATTGGGACTCATGTGCAGTCGTTCATTCAAGGACAGATGCGTAGCTTCATGCAACAGACAGATAATGCCTGTCCACACGTCGTTCGTGTTGTGACAGATTCCTGAGACAGCAGAACATTCCAGGACTCCCCTGGCCAGCTGTTTCTCTGGAACTTTCCCCATACCGACTATGCCCCAACGGTATGATAACCGCTCAGGGAGCTTTGCTAGAATTTTCTTGTTGTCTCGCTCGTCATTCCAGATAAGACCGCCAATAGTTTGCATGGCAATTGAACACTGTCCAAGGTAATCATCAATTTTCCGCAATGCCCCACGGTTCTGATTCTGCTTCAGTTCGTGCTACTTGCATCTCTCACTGTCCTCTTCCACTTGGTTTGTGTCACACAGGTGGCACTGCTGGTGAAACTGTCCAGGTATCCCACCAGGGAGTATTCTTCACAGGTTTGGAATAAAACCCGCACTGGATGTTGAACACTGTTGTCTGTAGAGGTGGATTCTTGTTCTTATCGGCGACAGGAGATGCTTCTGGTTGAGCACATTTGTCCCAAAAAGAACAGCTTCTTCTCACCAATGAGCGTCTCCAGCGATGGCACTCCTAGAAGTACACTGCATATAACCATCCCTGTGTGTCGTGGTAACCCTTGGACCAGCTTCAGTGCAAATCGCTGAGCTTTCTTGAACTAAGATTTTTATGCGTGAGATGCTATTCCAATGTTCACATCCAAATAGAGCTTTTGGAATGCGCACTGAGGGTAGAGTTTAGGCCTGTTGCATGACAGCCTGGTTCGGTGAGCACCATAATGGATGACGTTATCTTTGAGCAACTGTCTAACGTTCTTTCCCAGGAATTGAATGGGGAGTCAGGAATAATTCCAACATGTTTGACCTCTCTAGCCGGGGGCACAACTTCAAGGTAAAGCTCTTCCTCCGGATTGTTTTTTTTTCTTTCTTTCCAAACTGCAGGAACTGTGGCTTTGTTGGGGAGAAGGTTAACCTCCACAGGGAGCTGTATTCCAGGCAGATGTCGACCATATGCTGCAGGTTGGACTTGATTGGGCTCAGGTGGGCCAAATCGTCCGCTTGTGTGGATACTGCAACGTGCACATCCATAACCATAGCCCCTTTCATACTCTGGTCCAGGCGCCGAAGCTGTCTGTCTATGTCGAGCAGGTACAATTTGGCAGACATCACACTTCCTTGTCTGACTTGACTTGTATATGTTGTCAATAACTATCCATACGGCACTATGTATGCCATGCTTGTAAAGTTTGTATATCAACCCTGCATGCCATGGTGTGTTGAATGCCTTGGAGCTATCGAGAAAGCATGTGTTTACAACATCGGATCTCTCTAGATAGTGGTGGCGGGTTTCCTGGATAACAAAGCTCGTGTGATAAGATGAAAGGTCTTTCTGGAATCCATATTGCTCATTGCTAGGGAAGAATGTTGAATCCAAAAAATCAGGAATCCTCTTGCAGAAAACGGACTCAAAAAGTTAAAAGATGACAGGTCTTTTTGTGATTCCTCGATACGAATCTGGGGTGATCTTCGCCTTCTGTCCACCTTTGAAGATCGGTATTATGAGTCCCTTTGACCAATCTGTTGGGATGTATCCTGACATCATAATGACGTGAATAGTGCTGCTAGACATCTATGCAAATGGTCTCCTTCGTAATTCAAGTGTTCATGATGCCGTCTAATCCAGCAGTTTTGTTTGGCTCTAAGCTCTCACAGATGGATTTCATTTCTTGAGTCGTCTTGATTTCGTTTGTGTTCCAGCCTATCAGATGAAGTCTGTTCATCACATTTTCTGTTCCTATTTTCCCTTTAAATACATTTTTAAAATGCGACTCTATGGTCATTGTAAACTTTTTCCCCGATGATCTGCCTTCCTGCTGAAGATGATCTTCACAGTTGGTTTATCTCTTGGTCTTCTATGAATACATTTCTGTGGATCCCCCAATCTGGACCATGTCATTTTCTAGGAAACAGTTGGTAGGTTATCATCTGGTCCGACTTTGACGTAGAATTTTCTTGACTTTCTCCTCGAGCTCTAGTTGGTGCTGTGGCTGTCCTGCTTGCTAAGCTTGTTTCAAACATTTGTCAACACTGGTCCTCCTTTCTTCAGGTAACCCATTGCTGTGCTTGAGGCACTCCATTAATTCTACCGTTTTACTTCAGTGATTTCACACATTCCATTGAATCCCCCCCAAAATCTAATCATGGTCTCTGAATGATTTATTAACATTTTGTATTCTGGTGTATAGTGTCACACGACATCTATTTTTATAAGGGAGATATAAGCATGTATGCCGCTCCATCCTATATGTATACCCCATATTTTATCAGGGTTTTTACTTACTACACCATAGTACAAACTATTGTCTCATATCCACCTATATCTCTTTGTAGTAGAGATCACGCTCTTCTTATAGGTGTATTCCCCTTCACTGTAATACGCTCACAAGTTAGTTATAGTCGTTTGTGTACCCAAGTATTAGCACACTTCTTTGCTGGTCAGAGGCTATATGCAAACTCTCAACATGCATCGTTTATTGTCCTCTGCGACGTCCGCGAGTTTACATTATACCTGTATGGTTATTATCAACAATCTGGTTGTGTATTTGCTTACTATTCTGAATCATTTTCCATCCAGTCTCCTTGGACGCTAGTTGGCGCCGTGACATATAGCATGATTGTTTGTGGAGATATTGAGACTGACACACCTATATTACGTAAAGTGTCACTGGGGGAATCCATTTAATCAGTATAATATGATTGTAATGATACCAATTAAGTTGCTCTTTACAATTTATTACCAAAGTTAAGGTAACATTTAGAAACTCGTTATAAGTTTTCATCACATGCCACCTATCTTTATGAAGTAACAATTCACATTGTAAAGTGTTTCACCCCAAGAGAATGGATGTCTCTCTCGGAAATCTAGTCGGCGTACAATATCGGGATCATATTAAGTAGTATACACAATGGTGGTACGGGACCAGGTCCCCCCCAAGGGCTCAATTTCAACAACTGAGCCCTTGGGAAGTCCCTAATCCCGTACCACCAATGTGTATATTATTACTGAGTTGCATGCAAACTTTGACGAAAATTGGTCGAATAGTCTCTGAAATATTTACTTTTAAGTGAGAATGGGGTCGGTCGGGAAAAATCAAGGCCTTTCATTCACACACACACAATGATGACAATTATCATACAGTGGGCGATCGAAAAGTGACTTTGTCGTGAGGTACGATCATCAACTCCTCTCTGATGAATGGTCTCGGCGGCCCGTCTTTCAAGTAGTACAAGTTCGCTTCACCATATTTGATGTCGACCAGGTCGACGTTGTACGTTTTCACGGACCATATCAGATCGGTGGTTTTCTGCTGTCTCCCTCGTATTCGCCAGGCTCGTACAAGTATCTGACAGGGTCTGGTAATGTTTTCTCTGTTTTATCGCAACGTGCTGCTGACGATTTGGTGTTGTTAACAGATTTCATTTTGATGGCTTAGACGGGTCTCTTGCACATGAGTCTTGTGACTTCGTTGTTGATGGCATCCATCACTCACGGTAAGCGTACGACCCATTCAGTGTTTCTGTTTCTGGGATCCATTAAATCTGCGAGTATTGGTGCGAGAACAGGCGTTAGGCTAGGGTGCGATTGAATCTCTCAACGATGGCTTGGCTATGGTGAGACAGGATCTCTGATAGGTATTCTTGTAATGGATGATTTGAGTTTCGCCCATGATTAACTTTATGATACATTCTTTTAGCGGGTAAATGACGTTTACCAACATATTACATGCATCAGTCTGAATCATTTTTCACTTAAAGGTCTCAAATAAGAATAGACTTGGGATTAGACAAACTATAAATTAGCAATGGAATGAGAGGGGTGTGGCCTATAAGCAGTGCATTTGCACCTGACCAATAATGTTTAATTCGATTTGTACTGGGAGAAAGAAAACATACCAGAGGTTTCCTCAGACGATGCCTCCTGTGGAGTTGAAGTCTTGTGTTCCACTCTGCATGGTAGTTGCTGAAGTTTTGGTTTCTTACTGGTAAGAACGCTGCTGACCATCTTCATTTGTTCATCGTGTACTGCAACACCTTCCCCCTTGATCGACCCAACCCTACACCCAGGTCTATATTTCCCATGTAGTCACACAATCGACCCGGCCCCTCAGCAAGGCCAATATATCCGACACTTGTTACATTGAGAGGGCAGAGTGGTAGCCTAAATATATATTGCTAACAGAGGCGTGAAATCCAACTCGCACACTCCGTCACTGACTCTTACATTGAGTCCCGCAATGAAACTAGTGTTTACGTTATCATGAAAATAGATGTGCATTATACACTATCATGAATGTTGCAATATGGACGAGGAAAAGTGGTTTGCGGAATCATTTTATTAGAGACATAATGCATGTCGTTCCATGATCCCTCAGATCATCACTGACAAGACTGTTGGAACAGAAGATGTCATTTACGAGTGTAACCTCCAATGACGGCAACACAACGTCCCTCCGATTCATCTGAAGTCGTGCTCGTCTTCCCAGCAGGTAGGCCAGTCCATGACACCGGCGTTACGGCGTTACGTATAAAGTCCTGCATCAAAGAGGCGTAGCGTTGTCATGCTGAAATGTCAGTACAGGACAACGTAGCTGTAGGAATGGCATAAGTAGGGATGTGACAGATACTCGGGTACTCGAATCCGGGTCGGGTTCAGCTGGAATCGAGTTTTATTTCTAGGAAAAGGAGAGAACTCTGTAATGGCAAGGGCAGATAAAAACTTTCTTTCATTATTGAACACACATTTGCACCATTGGTATTGTCCGATTAGTGGAGGTTATTATTTCAAGTTTTCAATAAAAATATCCTTCAACTCAATTGAATATTCAGAAAGTTGACCGAAGCGTTTTATTCCTTACATTTCTGGGTACTCGATTCCAATTCGGGTCAGTACATGCGGGTACTCGATTCCACTTTTTCCTATCCGTCCCTGCCCTAGGCATAAGGACTGGGGTCAAAATATGATCCCGATATTGTATGGCAGCTAGATTCCTCCAGTCTACATCCTTTCTTTTGGGGTTAAACTCTTTAGAATGTGAATTGTTACTTCATAATGATATGTGGCACGTGATGAAAATTATAATCGAGTTGAATAACACTAAAATTATTTTGTAGAGTCTTACCTTAGCTTGACAATAGAGCTCATTGGTATCATTGCGATCATATGATTTGTCCGTGTTTTAGGTAATATAGTTGCATCAGTCTCAACACTCCATACCATACCATGCTGTTCAGCAAGATACACAACATTAATAAATCATTCAGAAAAATGCTATGTTTTCTTAAAGAAATCTATGAATTAGATGTTGTTACTGGTTCCGACACTCTGGGGAATGGGTTTTGGAAATCAAACAGGAGAAGCGAGAGGAAAGGGCAGAGAGGCTTGAATAGAAAAACATTAGTGAGACAGATAGGGATGATGATATGCCGATTGATGGAGTGGGGGAGTCGTTGAGAGTTAGTAGGAAGGAACCTGACATTATAAAAAAACTCCGTGAAAGGAATAGAACATGGAGAAAGAATAACAAGGAGAGATAGGGGTGTGGTCAGGGCCTATGTGATTCTACGGCACTTCGTTCAACACATTGTATACATCATAGTTGTGTAAGTACTTGCAAAAGAGTTAATTTTGTATTCTGGAATATGTCCGGACTTTTATCAAAGCTTGATGATCATGACTGTATTCAGTTTATATTATCACATGAAATCATCGGATTGACTGAAACATGGATTAAGGGTTCTGGTCTAAAATCAGTTTTTGCTGACTATTTCATTTATATGAAGGATGCTGAGAAAACATCTGCAGCTGGGAGACTGTCTGAGGGCATACTAGTACTAGGAGAAGGTGAAGAAGAAGATGAAGAAGGAGGAGAAGATGAAGAAGGAAGGAAAAGCAGAAGGAGAAGAAGAAGAAGGAAAAGCAGGAGGAAGAGAATGGTGAGTATGGTTATTCCAGCAACATCACTGCAGGGACAACAGAAATGAGCTTTGCATATTGTACAATGTTGGGAATCCAAACCGGGTCTTCAGCCTGACGAGCGAACGCTTAAACCACTCGGCTACCCCACCGTTCTCGGAGGAGGAGGAGAAGTAGCAAGAAGAAGGGGGAGAAGAAGGAGAAGTAAACAACATACAGAATTGTGTCACACATATAAAGGTGACAGTAAAGATATTGAATCTGTAAAGCGACACTCAAACACCATAATTATACATATCAATGATAACTTCAGATAAACACATCAGATATATACACAACATTTATAGACGGCATAGTAACATATCGGAACACAGGGAAATTCAGGAAGAACATATCAACAATATTAATCAATATTAATTAATATAATTCCGGCTCACCAAGTTAACGTATCAATGCAAATGCCCCAGTGGAAAGAGAACTTTGACCATCAAAGTCACCTGACTATCATACATGAAGGGTTAAAGACAAAGTAGCAACAGCATGAGCATCGATCTACACAACTGAGATATGATGACAGGTGCCAACCAAGTCAGCGAGCCTGACCACCCGATCTCGTTAGTCTCTCACGACAAGCATGGGTTACTGAAGACCAATTCTAACCCGGGTCTTCACGGGTGCGAATTTTGTCCCACAATGGGATTATCAGAGGTAATATTCCATCATGTGCCACTATATGTGATTATGAACAGTTGCATGGAAGTAACATCAGCCAGTAACATATGATCGTAATGATACCAGTGATGTTACTGTTAATAGTCTTTTTGCCAAGTTACTTTAACTGTCTACAAATGAACTACAGTAAGTGTCTTCTAACGTATCTATAAGTGTTCATGGATTGTAATATCTTTGGAAATTGTCACTGTTTACATAATAGTAACACAATTCAGTTTGAACGCATACAGTTCCTTGGGTAGAATAGGGCTAAGGAGTAGCCTGGTTGATATGAAAGGCTATTAGTAGTAGACATTGACATGCCGTTAAATATCTAACACGCAATATATCCCAAACTGGCTTCAATTCAAATCCCTCGCACAATCACCTCTGATCTTAATGTTTTGTTTTGACAACAGTCTTAGAGTAGCGGTCATGCTGCAAACGTGGCAGCTTTAGCGTCTCGAAGAATATCACGCTAACTATTACCGAACATGCAATAACACAATGTATTGCACCCGTCTTCCTTATTCATATTTCAGCTGATCACTGGATTCCCGAGGAATGGGTTTTACCGGCAGCAAGCGATCGATTACGATCCATAAAGTGCACGCTTAAGACACTGATCAATAGAAGTAGTTGTCCTTAGCGTGACGGTTTGAGGGTATTTTTATTTCCAAGGCTACAGTTGTTTGTCTGGTACGTTGCTAAAGGTGGAGCCTGAAATATCACACTGAGATAACTGGCACATAAAAGAACCCAATGTAATGTTGTATGCTCCCCAGGGAGTTGAGACTGACAATACGATATGCCGTTGAGATAGACATGCAGTGAACGAGGGAAAAAACTAAGCGCCTTTGAGCAGCTGAGCTGAGCTGGATATCGGCGCTATACAAATGTTAGTATGTGTGTGTGTGTGTGTGTGTGTGTGTGTGTGTGTGCGTGCGTGCGTGCGTGTGTGTGTAATGTAACTGATCTGCAAACATAATACAAATGACTTTGATACAAACCGTCGTGCCCTGCCTTGTCACTAGCTGGTTGTTGTTTAGCAATATTCCAGCTATATATGGCGGCCGTTTGTAAATAATCGAGTCTAGACCAGACAACACAGTTATCAACACTATCGATCTACGCAATTGGGATACGACGCTATGTGCACAAGATGTCGGCGAGCCTGACCACAAATCTACTTCCGCCCAAGATGTACCCAAGGAAACATATACAGTTTGTTTTCTGTTATGCATGTAAGGAACTATTAAGGTGAATCAACTTTTGTTTATGTGGACATAAATAAATTGAAAGGGATCACGGTACAGATATACTCTAACCTTAAAGAAACGCAACGGCGATATAGATAAATGAAATGTCAATTAGTTTTCAAAATTAGTGTTTGAATGTTCGCCATTATAATGCTGGTTACTTTAAAGTACGGTTACGTTTGGAAGTTTCAACTTGCATGGAAATGTCATAGAGAAAAAGTAGTTCGCAATATGCACGTGCAGTTCTGAGGAACCGTGAGCAGGGACATTTGCTATGTGAGGCCGGATTATCACTGCAGCCCAGGATAGGTAGGTCTGGGTACTTCATGTGCTGGATCTAGTTGCAGCTGGAAGTGCAGTGCTTGTATGGAGATAATGTCGGCGCAAACTGTTCGTAATCGTTTACGTGAAACTGGACCTCGAGCCAGAAGACTCTATTTCGGCCCTGTGCTGCGACAACTATATTGACGTCGACGTGTTCAGTGGTGCAATAACGTTCGATTCTGAAATCTACACAACTTGCAAGCTTCAGTGACAATTCACGCTTTCTGCTTCAGAGCCGTGACGAAGGAGTAAGTGTCTATTGACGTCGAAATGAACGTTTTGCCCGGAAGTGTGTCCACCAGGTTGACCGATATGGTGGTGATAGTGTCATGATATGGGGGACCATATCCTGCATGCTGATATCTAACTTTGTGCGATTTCAAGGCAGTTTAACTGCTGTTCGGTACAGAGATGAAATCTTAAGGATTCACATGGTTCCGATCATTGAGGGAGTTGTTTCAGCGATATAATGCCACACACAACGTATGTCGCTATCCAGTATCTTCAGATTGAGAACATTACAGTGCTTCCATGGACTTCCAAAATGCCCGACCTCAACCCCATCGAGCACACGTTAGATCAGCTGTTGCGGGCATTGCAAGAGGAATGGGCCAGAATTCCATAAGTTCGAATTTAAAGACTTATTCAGTCCATTCCAAGACGGCGCAGAGCAGTTTTGGTGGCACATGGTGGCCACAACAGATATTGAAGAAAATGCAAAACTAGGAACGGACGCCTTCACATATAGGGTTTTGTATAAGCTATACGTGTTAACAGACATTTGGTCTTTCATAAGTTGACATTTGGTTGCAACTGATACAGAATAACATGTGTTTTCCGACTTTAAAGTGAACAGATTAAATTCGTGAAAAAAAACTCTGTGTTTCTTTTTGGGAGAGTTTATGTGTTTTGATATTACCTCAAAGGTATAGCCCTGATCCCGTGTCAAAGAGCTATCCTAGTGCTTCGACTGTCGTAAGTATATGCTACAGTATAGGAGGTACGACAGTCGTAGCGCTACGATAGCTTTGTGAAACGGGGCCCTGGGTTTTGTGTCAGCCAGCAGATTGCATCATGAGACACAGTGATGAAGGCTTGACAATTGGAGTGCTGTTTCCGGTAAAGTCACCTCTTGAGATCAGCGTTAATTACTGTTGATTAATGTCCAAACATCGTGTCATTTCCGTCACGCTAATGTATCTCTAATTGTTGCTTTAAGTGTATTATAGCTGAAAGTGGGCGGTTGGGTAGCCTAGTGGTTAAAGCGTTCGCTCGTCACGCCGAAGATCCGGGTTCGATTCCCCGCCGTGATATTGCTGGAATATTGCTAAAAGCGGTGTAAAACCATACTCACTCACTACATATCGCCTTTCATAGCACATTCTGTTGTGTAGTTAAGCTACAGCTGATGCTGACATTAAGATGGTAAAATGTCGAGTCTTTTAGTTCCTCCTGTGTTCCTTGTGTTGCATATAAATTGGGTGCTCGCTGATACATTCATTAATAAAGCAGCGCTCCGAGCACAAATACTGTAAATGTATGCACTTTAAAAGCTGATTACTGCTGCTGTGCTATGGGACTCTGTTCCCCCTCACCCTTGGTGTGCCTTTTCCTTGAGTACTTTTAAATCTGGCATGAAGACCCATCTGTTTCATAATCACTGACAATTGTTCATCCCTTCTTTTGTATGCGCTTATACCCTTCCTTGTGCGGTGTGGAGTTCAGCGCCACATAAATGTCCTTCTTCTTATTATTGTTATAGCATTCATGTGTCACCCAGAAGGCCGAGGTTGAATACCCCACACGGGTACAACGTGAGATGATTACGGCTGTGTCCCTTACATTGCTTTGGTATTGTTAAATGAGGCGGAAACCCCACGGACTGACTTGTGTTTCAAGAGACGAGGTCTCAAACAAAGATATATCTCACTTTATGGAGGTCTATGTTGTAGCGGGACATGCACCAGGTGAACGTTTCGAGTTTCATATTTATTGGAGGAACGTTAAAGATCATAGACAGCTATTTGCAACATGTAAGGAGACCAGTCAATGTTCGTGGGTCGAGCCACATCAACAGAATCCAAAGTTCCTTCTTCTGGACATAAAGATGGCGGTCCCAGTTCCCAGGAACGCCGAAGATCCGGGTTCGATTCCCCACATGGGTACAATGTGTGAAGCCCATTTCTGGTGTTCTCCGCAGTGATATTCCAGGAATATTGCTTAAGGCGGCGTAAAACCATACTCACTCACTTACGTTATATATTCCTAAGTTGTGTTTCAGTTTAAATAAAACCAGTAAATGCACTAGTGTGATTTTCTGGATAATCGATCACATTACTGATAAGGACAAACTGTATGGATGAACAACTTCTTTATTCAGATGATGCGACGTTTCGACACAGATCTGCTTGACGGCCGCAATAAATCCGTATCTAATAAAGAAGTTGTTCATCCATAAAATTTGTCCTGATTCTCCAACTTCTAAAAATGCCGTGATCTCACTACTTCCAGGCAACAACTTCCTTCTTGTACTACAAAGTATTCGGAGCTGCTCAAATACACTACCGGAAGTTCGCTCGGGACTGTAGAGATTGGCGCCATCTATTTGTGAAATAGAAAAGGAAGGTAACCCAGGAATGTGGGTCATTGCCAGTTCAACTTCAGACAAAATTCCTGGCGATCTGCAGTCCGTGTGTATATTGTATTGTTTCGTAACGAAATCACATTTTAGAGATAGATCCTTGTTTTCGATTCTGTTTCTGTGATATTCCAGTTGTATTTATTGTCTTTGGTCGACAGGTTTTTACAATTCAACTTTATTTACCATGATTTAGTAACTTGTTTTAGTCGCCATGTGGATGAAATACTGCCGATGTGACTATACAATTTTACCTCATTCACCCACCCACCCACACTCACTCACTAAAGAGCTACTGGCATCGGCAGCCCATGGTAATTTTAGTGATGTGATGGTGGTCGTCGAAATGCCTGTCCATTTTGAGATATTTAATGAAAATAGATACATCATTTTAATATTAATGATCAATTATAATCACACATTTTTCTGTGTCATGGTAGAATTACTGTTATTGTTATTGAGGAGACAGCCATATTGAGTGAGTGAGTATGGTTTGACGCCGCTTTTAGCAATATTCCAGCTACGTCACGGCGGGGTCACCAGAAATGGGCTTCACACATCGAACCCATATTATGCTTATGATCATCTACGTACATTATGTATATATATATATATATTCCTGTGAACTATAATACCTATCCATCATTGTACAAATGTCTGTATGTCTTTGATGTCTGTAGACAATTCCACTGTGCTAGGAAATCTAACTTTGCATCTATTTTACGCGAATAAGCTACGAACAAGCCATTTGTTGGCTGTATGAAATAACTGTACTACGGGCCGATGGCCTGGTTATCTCCCATTTGACAGACACCCAATTGACAGACACTGAACTAGAAGGTTAATGAGGGTAACACCTACGGGTATAATGGAACAGTCCACTGTCTAGTGAGTAGAGCAGGTGAGCCTGAAACAGGTTCGTTACTGAGAAGTTTGATTGTAGGTAAATAGGAATTTGTTGTGTTTAAATGATAAATGATTTCTCTTCTCAAAATTGTTTTTACCTTCAATTACTATCGAATATAAAACCAGGTTTGTCACTGAGAGGTTTGATTGTGTTTATTGTTAAACTGAAATGCTTGTGATAAACTGTTTTCATATTGCAGCAATACAAATTCAAATTACTGTCTTTTCGTCCATCTTTCAAAATAAATAATATAGCTTCAGTTTTAATACAAGACAAATCTTATGGATAACTACTTCTTGATTTTTGTTATCCATAAGATTTCAATCTTCATTCTACCAACTTCTAAATGCCTTTGAAGAATTTAGCTTCAGTTTGTTCCTGTGTTTTTATTGGACTATTCCATAATAATGTGTAGGTAACAGGTAGTAGATAATCTGTTCACTGAACCGTAAATGTTGTTGTTTTAAGGTGTCTGCGAACTGGCTGTCTGCGTAATGGGAGGACACCGATGGCCTACATACTCCAGAATAAAGAGAGAAAGGACAAACACATGCTTCAATCAGTTCATACCGTACCTGTTTTGTAGCCTCTCTGGTTGTTGCTACACATAATGTTAGCCAGTGATGGGCCAGGCAGGCCCTGTGTTGTCACACTGGGTTTTGATGGGCCTGGCAGGCGCTGTGTTGTCACATGGGGTTTTCATGGTCGGGGCAGGCTCTGTGTTGTCACATGGGGTTTTGATGGGCCTGGCAGGCGCTGTGTTGTCACATGGGGTTTTGATGGTCGGGGCAGGTGCTGTGTTGTCACATGGGGTTTTGATGGGCCTGGCAAGGCGCTGTGTTGTCACATGGGGTTTTGATGGTCGGGGCAGGCGCTGTGTTGTCACATGGGGTTTTGAAGGGCGGGGCAGGCGCTGTGTTGTCACATGGGGTTTTGAAGGGCGGGGCAGGCGTTGTGTTGTCACATGGGGTTTTAATGGCCGGGGCAGGCGCTGTGTTGTCACATGGCGTTTTGGGCACATGGGCGGCGCATAACCTTTAGTTGCAGGGGTCACTGTGGGTTTCCTCCATGGTTTTGTTTGTGTGATTCTGGTTGCGACGGTTTCCGTGGGTTTTACTAATTTTGACGATTTCGCAGATGTTGTGAATGACGCAGTTGATGATGGTGTCGATGATGTATCTGCTGCTGATGTATCTCGTGTTATTGGTGATGTTAGTGGTGTTGGTGATGTTGTCGCTGATGTTGTGAATGACGCAGTTGATGATGCTGTAGATGATGTATCTGCTGATGATGTATCTCGTGTTATTGGTGATGTTGTCGCTGATGTTGAAGTGGTTTCAACTTCCTCAGTAGTGTCCCGGAATAATGTAGGTATAGCAGGAATAGCCTGCAGAAGGTTATCATATATGTTTGACAAATACAAAAAATGTGAAACTAATGTCTAGATTCAGGTTGTGCTTGTTTGTTGCTTCACACCGTACTCAACAATATTTCAGGTACATGTGGCGTTCGATTACAAATCGTATCTAAGCCAGGCACTCCATACTCCAGCGACTGACATCATGAGCATTGATCTACACATTTGAGATATGCCCCGACATGTCAGCGAACCTGACTCAATGGTAAGTGACGTCACAATGGACTGCAAACATTTCGGTGCAATTATACCATCCGATTGACGGCGACGTAATGGTAATCAATGACATCACAAACGCTTTCAAGTCAATTTCACTGACGCGACGTTCTGATCTTAGCCTGGTGTCCCCCGCCGTGATGTTGCTGGGATATTGCTAAAAGCGGCGTAAAGCCAAACTAATTCAGTCAGTCAGTCTGATCTTATCATAGCCATATCTCCCGTTGAAGTCTGCTTTGATAGCTCGTGTTGATAGCTCACCAGGTACAGCAAACTGTAGAACCCTCTTCTTTTGACCACTGTAGCAGGAGCTGATGTCCCAGTCGAGGAGGTTGGGCCTGTAGTTGAAGATGTTGTACGTGTAGGTGGTGTTGGACTGAAACCACAAGAGTGACTGAGTGAGTTTACTTTACGCCGCTTTTCATCAATATAACGGCAGGGAACACAATAAATTGGGTATCGAACCTGGCGTGACGAACGCTTTAACCACTAGGCTACACCACCGCCCCGATACCACAAGACTTTTTCAGTCTGAGTAGGATGGTAGACCTCCACAGCAGCTTCTAAGTTGTAAGGGGAGAGATAATTGGTTCAGTTAACTGGTGGTGAGAATGTACCAGTGGCTGGACATTACTGATACAATATCAATGCCCGCAAGCAGGCAAGCAAGCGAGCGAGGGGACCTAGTTCGTACGATGTTTCGCCTGGCCTGAAACTTGCAAACAACATCCTTCTTCGAAATTGACCAGTTCAAGCGAATGCTAAAGACAAAGGTTTTTTACACTGAGTTTCCCTAAGCTACTTTGAGCAGTTTGTTGTAACAGGCGCTATATAAATATGAACTTTAATTATTTTCTTTATTTTTATTATGAATCCCAATATTTTGATATTGTCCCTATCGTTCTCCAGGTAGATTCTGTCATAAACTGTTCAGTCAATACGCCATTCGCCATACTAATATACTCTCCCAAAAATGAAACGTATCATGAAAACTGCAAGTTTATGTAGCAATGAATTAAAACGTGATTCATTTTACAAAAGGTTTTGCTCTGTTTATGAGTCCTATGGTGTTTATGTTTTGAAACATCACAACAAAACGCACCATCAGTAACATACCCGTATTTAACAGCATGATTTTCAATTTCGGCGTGTAGTGTCACAGAATACACAATTCACATTCAATGCACGTGAAAGTTGGGGATCAGATAGTCTCAATGATGGGTATAAAAGGTTGATCGCTGTCTGTCGATTATTCACTGTATTTGGAATATTGTTGACAAACGCAAAATGCCACGTCTAAGTGAAGCCAACCGTCAAATCGCCATTGGTTTGCTTGAAGCTGGCCAGTCTCAACGTGCAGTTGCCCGACGCATGAATTTTCACCAAAGCACCATTTCACGGCTCTGGGAAAGATATCGCCGGCAGAATTCGGTAGCAGATGCCCCTCGTAGTGGGCGACCTCGAGCGACCACTGCGGCGCAGGATCGCTACATCCGGGTACATCACCTGCGTCATCGAACAGCTATGGCAGTACCGCTCGACAAATACCCGGATTGAGGAGGTTTTCTGCACAGACCGTCAGGAACAGGTTGAGAGAGGCTGGATTACGTGCCAAAAAACTTAATTTGGCCCTGTGCTTCGACAACATCGTCGACATCGAGTTCAATGGTGCACCGACGTTCAGGCCTGGAACCTACCGAATTGCTTTCTTTGAGAGGCATTTTAGAAGTTGTGAAGATGAAGGAAAACTGATTTCTATGGATAGTCAACTTCTTTATTGCAATGAGTGCGACGTTTCGGTGTAGGTACTAACACCGTTATCAAGCAGGTGATACAACATGCGATGCGATGATTTGGAGTTTAACGTCGGCTTTTAGCTGAGCCAATGTCGCCGACGGGGTGATACAACAACTGAGGCAAGGAGAATATATATATAGCTGTATAGTAAGTATATACAATTAACAAGGTTGATGTACATTGGGTATTTGATAAGTGATTACAGCATAGGAGGTTGATGTACAGAGTGATTGGTTGTGATTAGAATAAAGTTTATACAGTTGATGAGTTGAGGTACAATAGTTGTGATTACAAGCACAAAGGAGGGAGCATGGAAGCCCGATGGACAAAGGAGGTAGGGGGGGATTACTGGTGGTGGTGTTTGATTAGGTGGTGATAGGCTGACGAGATGAAATAACCTTGATCTCGATTCATGGTGGGGTTGTGGCGTTGGATGTTTATGGCTTCAAGGAGTTTCCTGATTTTGTAGTCTTGTCTGTTGATTTCTAGGATATCGATGTTGTTCCATAGGATGGCATGGTCAGGGTTGGCTTGGGTGTGGTCAGCTATGGCGGATTTGGAGTCGTTTTTCTGGACTGAGGCTTTATGTTCCTTGATTCGTAGTGGGAGCGGGCGGGATGTTTCACCAATATAGAAGTCTCCACATTGACAATCACTTATCAAATACCAAATTTACATCAACCTTGTTAATTGTATAATCTTACTATACAGCTATATATATATTCTCCTTGCCTCAGTTGTTGTATCACCTGCTTGATAACGGTGTTAGTACCTACACCGAAACGTCGCACTCATTGCAATAAAGAAGTTGACTATCCATAGAAATCAGTTTTCCTACCGAATTGCTGTAGAATCTGGTTCAGTGATGAATCACGATTTCTATTGGAACGACGCGATGGAAGAATGCGAGTGTACAGATGTCGACGTGAACGTTTCGCCGACGCTTGCGTTCCCAAGGTGGACAGATTCGGCCGGGACAGTGTTATGATGTTTGGAGCGATCACCTGCTGTAGGAGAAGTGATTTGGTGATGATCCAGGGCAACCTGACAGCTCAACGGTACTGTGAAGAAATCCTACGCCCACACCTTCTTCCAATCATTGATCGTCAGAGGGAGTTGTTTCAACAGGACAATGCCAGGCCCCACACAGCACGTCACACTAGAGACTTCCTCAAGAACCACAACATCAATGTGCTCCCCTGGCCCCCAAGATAACCGAACTTAAACCCGATCGAACATCTGTGGGGTGCCCTGGACATACGGGTGCGACGCAGTAGCCCTCAGCCCTAGACATTTCAGCAACTCGCACAGGCACTACAGGCAGAGCGGGCTGCGATTGGGCAACACGAGATTCTGAGACTTATTCGTTCGATGCCGAGGCCATGCCGTGCAGTTCTGGATGCCCACGATGGTCACACGAGGTATTGACTTGAACCCCACCACACGTCTCCATGTGACACTCAAACTGACTTTCCTCGAGTTGGTGCCAAAGAGGGATAAGTCTGCATTCCCAGTGTGCAATTTCGCTATATTTCATTGACTCATAAAGCCTACAAGATGTTTCAAAATAAACATAAAATACAGTTGAAATTCCTATATGCGTTTCTTTTTTGGGAGAGTATATAATCATCGGGCCGAGCCGAAGATGCATCCATGGTATAGTGGAGATGTATTGTAACGTATACCCTGGAGATTAACGAGGATGTTGGTCGACGTGACAACATCCTCCTACATGTTATTCCGGATACTGACGGTTAGAAGTCATTGTCGTGTAAAGAGATTCCGTTGTCTACATTTGATAAATACTTGACCTTTAGACATGGCAATCGTCTGACGTGATTCGCGCACAACGCCTTGGAGCTAAACGTCAACAAGTAACTAAACCACGTCCCATTATTGTGAAACTCGCGCTGTCGGATGATAAGGTCCGAGCTCTGAAATTGAGACCAGTTCTCAAGGAGAACTTGGAACTTGGACTTGGGAGTTTGACGACACGACTGAGAAACAGATACAAGCCCGGGTTATTCTAATACGCCACACGTAGTCAGATTCAAACACGTCAACGTAAGCGGCAACCGGCGATCGACTCTTCACGTCGGAAGGCGCAAGACGCCTTCTCGTTCAGCACGCCATAGGGTAGCGGCCGAGGCCTGGTCACAAGAACCTATTGTCAATGACATTGCAAGTACTGACTCTGAGAGTGATCTCGTGACTGAAAACACCACTCTATCCCTTTTGTGCTGGAACGTTAACGGGTTGAGGGACAAAATAAACGACTGTGAATTCTTATTAGCTTCGGAAATTCAAAATAGTATGTCTTGTTGAGACATTTGTCGAATATGAATTGGGTGGACGGTTATGACGTTTTCTACAGCCCTGCAGTAAATCTATCTGGCTTTGTTAGACTTTCTGGTTGTGTAATTGTCTGTATCCACAATTCTATAAGCAATATGTCCATTTTACTGTCACCATCAGTTGACAGTTTGATTTTCTTGAAACTGCCAATAAAACTATTTTCATTTGCAAAAGATATCAACTTAATATGTACTTATAACCCACCCACTATTCTAACAGAGAACATGAATGTAACACTGAAAAAATCGAAAACAGTTTCTTATAGAAACCCTTCCATAAATCAGTGATTCATTTACAATTTTCTGTGGAGATATGAATGCTCACACAGGTGAGCAAAATAACCATTATGTTAGTTATAATGATGATATCGGAAATGAACAATCTACAATATAGTGAAGAAGGGGATACCCCACTCGATGACCGCAAATCTCATGACAAAGTTGTAAATAGCTTTGGTCGTACTTTACTATATATCATTTGTTCACAGGGTTTTGTTCATTATATTGAGATTTTTAGCATTGGAGAATGCATTGACTCAGACCATTTCCCACTGGAGTTGACTTGTAAATTTCCATATGCAGACAATCAAATGAACTAGCCGATGGGTGTTATGATAAGGAAAACTTGTTTGGAATGATTCTCTGTGTAAAAACTTTGCCGATAATTTATCTGATAAAATGTTGTCTTGAAGTCAAGGTTTACTTACAATGCTTGATTTTGACTTAGATGGCGCTATCGATGAATGTGTACATATACTTTTAACTTCGTCCGACTGTATGAAGAAAAAGGTTAATACTAAACATGTTAACAGTATAGGGGCGAGGGCGGGTCGTTATCCATAAATTAAAAGTGGGTACCCAAAAAACTACATCTTAAGATTAATAGTCACTATAAATATCTTGGTCTTTTGTTTACCCATGCAATAAACTTGTCTAAAAGTATAAATTATTTAGTATCAAGAACAAGGAAGCCATATTCAACGTTTTGTCTGTTTCATATAGAATTGGAATTACCTCACCGAAAATATTTTACTTTTGGCAAATATGAAGTTTAACATTTTCAGATAGCAGTATATCAAAGAATAATCACGTGCTAGCTGTGTCCTGCAGGTGCGCTTCCCGCTCTTCCAGTCTTGTGAGGAAAACACGGTTCATACCGACAAACAATCTCATTCTTCACGGCGATCCTTCGTAGCCTAGTGGAGTAGTAAGCGAAGGGTTGCGGGTTCGAAACCAGGTATCGGCACTATATGTTGCAAGTTTTTTAATAATGTGATATTTTAAGATCGCATTCAGTGATAGTAAGACAAAGTTATATCTATCTTCAAAACAAGTAATACATACTTGGGAAATCCTTGTCATTATATTCCGTTATATGTTCTCAGTAATAGACACCGATACACAGACATGATGTACCAGTCCATTGTTATGCAAATCAACGAGTAAAACTATGGCTTCTGACATCATGAGCTCATCACGTTTTACACAAAAAGCGTGGTATTTTTAGAAGATACAATGTGGTTCTGAAATGAACAAAATGTTTCATCAACGGCGATTGATCGTCGGTCAGTGCACACAATAAGTAAAACGAATCACGTTATTAAAACTTTCCTTACTTGTTGTTGATTTAATTTCCATAAGGCTAGAAAAGGCATGTTCTCGTTTTCCAATTTGGGTAAATCAGTACTCAAGACGTCAATAACTTTATTGCCCGTGCAATACTCGGGTATCTGCAGATCTCAGATCATCCCGAGTGCAGCTTTAGTAAACAACAAGAAGAAAAAGCAAGAAAGATTCTATAAAAACCAAAAACATATGGAAAAACCAAAGAAAACCAAAACCAAACTTAATTACCTGCATATATGAAGTTCAACATAAACAACCTCCATGTCCACACTAATTTATCAAATTAAGCAAAGTGTAAGTTTTGAGGGAAAAGCCATTCAGCTTGCTAGTTATCTTCCTGTACTAGGAATTTGCATGCTTCGCCTGGATCATTGTCGTGTATAGCACAGTAAGAAAGAAGTATATAACCAGCCGTATGAAAGCAGTATAATGACTTTACATGTTGGTGCAGATGGTTGTGAGCCAGCAATTAACTGGTTAATTTGTGTTTTAATTTGATATGCCTGACATAACTATATTAACTAAAACACAGTGATCACTCTAATCAGTAAATAATGATACCAGTGACGTTGTTCTTTAAGACTCTAAAAAAATAATAAAACTCGTAAATAAGTGTTCATATCATGCCAACTATCATTATGAATTCACAGTTTACATTCTAAAGTGACGCAAACCCCAGTGGACTATTGGGGTAGGAGAAGATTCGGGAAAATAGTAGAAGGTCTAAGGTACCCACCAGTAAACATTGACACTTTTATAATTATATTCAACAAAATTAGAAACTTGACACCGACATTGTTGGTAACAATTGAAAGGGTTAATTCTCTTTAGCTTTTTAGTATCTTGATACCATACACCATGCGCACAGCAGTGGCATGTAGGATATTTGAACATCGTCTTGGCGTCTGGCGTGAAAAGTGTGCTCACAATATTGTGCATATAGTGTAGGCAGCACACAATCTATGGACCGGTTAGCTTCTGACATCGTTGGAAATCACCCAAGACGTGGAGTGCCGCTTGTGAGTCACACCAAACAAACGAATAGATTCGTGACTGCATCCTTCACAAGCAGACAGTTCGTCGCCTGAAAACCAGAGTGTTTTAAGTCACAAAAACCTATTTTCGAGAAATTCGATCTTGAAGTTTAGGACAACAATATCTTCTTCACTTTTCAATCGAATTCTTTCAAATTTTGCACATGCATGTGACATGTTAAACAGGATCAGAAAATATCAAATTATATGCTCAATCTATTGAAATAAATAAGAAATTCACGAAAGATGATTGGAGATAGAACACTTGACCAAAGAAAATCGTGATTTTTCTCAAAACCAAAGTGTTCTAAGTGTCAAAAAACACAGCTAAAACTCAGCTTTATTATATTATATCGATATTTGATTGTTATTTCCTTTTTACCAGGTTGTATTTTTGTCGTTTAAACCTGTTTTTCTTTCATAAGAACTATATTTAATTAGATAAAGCAGAAATAAGAACAGAGTTAAAATGTTCCATCTCCATGATGACAATCACTTCAAAATTGGTAAATCTCGATGTCACGTGATCAAATTGTGCTTGCCCATTGGTCAATTGACAACTTAGAACACTCGAAAATTAACAACATGTGATTTTCATGGAGATAGAACAAAGTTTGTGTTTGAAAAACCACTTTTACAGCTAGATAGCACTGTAAAAAGTTGCTAGAGTAATAGATTACGCTCTAAAACCTACCCTGAGCATACTAACTCTAATTTTGTCAAAAGTGGACTTACAACACTCTGGTGTTCAGGCGACGAGTTGTTGTTCA